GCATACACCCCGGTCGACCAGAAGCGAATGTTCGCCCGCAGCGGACTGGACCCGGTGAGGAGGGCCCGCAATCGCAAGCGTCGCAAGGCTCAGCGCTACGCACAGCGCGGTCGAAGGACGACAGGGGAAAGCAAGAGCAGCTCCAGCGGCGAAGGTGCAGGCCTGAAGGGACAGACGATCTTCGGAGAGCACCAGCGGGTCAGGGCAGTTGGCCTCAACTTCCCGGGTGTCCTCTCGGCTCAAGCCATTGAGGATATGCAAGAGCTTATGCTCACGGAAGCGGGCCAGCAAACGCTGCAACAAGACGGGTGGATGCCTACATTGTTGCGGTATTACCGCCAGATGCTATGCCGCAAGGTCTCAGGACCGATGGGCAGGGAAGCGCATACACTATGCACGGTGGGCGACTTGATCCTTCGGGGTCATCTGCCAGAGGCGATGGACGAGTGAAGTCGTTAGAAGATGTTAGAAGCCCAGGCAGGAGGTCTTGCATGGGCCTCAGCTCAGCAGCTCGAGCTTCTCCCAAGCGACACGGCCACGTTATCGTCGAGACAGGAGCTCAAGATCGCAACATCGGAGCAGAGAGCGGAAGCCCAAGCTCATCAATCCGGCGCCTGGTGGACAAAGGGCAGCGGAAAAGACAGCCACAAGGAGGAGAAAGACGATAAAGGCAAAGGAAAAGGAAAGAAGGGAAAGGAGAAGCCGAAGAAAGATTAGTGAAGGTTGGAAAACCTGCACCATGGCCGGGGCACTCTAGCCCTGATGAGTTGGCAGAGTTGGAGACAGAGGGCGCAGCAGATGACACGGGGTGGGAGGACCCTGGGATGGCAGTGGAAGATTCGGGGGCTCAGGCCCTGTTGCAATGAATGGGGATGCTATGACAGCGTGTGGCGCTACTTTGAAGGAGCTGACGCATGCTGGTTTAGGCCATCAAGGCCTCACGGGGACACAACGAAGACGGGGTTGGATACCCTGTATGGCGCGGAGGTGGACGTCAGATTCCCACCTGGAACGCGGGCGGATTTTCCTCTGGGGAAGTCGTTTGGCGTGGCACTTTACAGAAACTCGCCGCAGCCGAGTGAATCCCTACTGAACTCGGGGTACTTCCCCGCGGACCTGGAGGGTTCGAAAAAAAGGGCGTTATTGGCAAGCAGCTTTGGGAAATGGGACGGATGTTGGGCCAGAGTTACGGGGGTCTATATCGCTCTGCAGCCAGCCCACGGATGGGGATGTCGCGGTCTCAGGGCCATCCAACCAGTGTCCTACCTTTCCCCTTCCGACCCACCGTGAACTATTGGGGCCCCTACTTGCAGGCGAGTACGCATGAACACTTGACTGGGTGATTGCAGTATGCATGGCAGTGAATTCGTTTGACGAGGTGGAAAACGTCCGGCCGTTCCGATGGGAGTCCATCAAACTCACGTACCTGAAGAGTTTGGGGTGGCAAGGCACACGGATTTCCGTGAACTGGGGTGCGAGCACTGCGGGATGAACTTCCCCGCTTATTTGAAAAATCACCCATTTGCCCCCATGCAGGTGGGGGGCCCCTCAAGAAATCTCGTGGATTCAAGTGCTGAGTTATGGTGTTACTTTTACACGCTGTTTTTGCCACCCTGTTGATACCCTTTTTCGGTACTTTAACCAGCCAGATCCGCCGGCGCTAGTGCCAGCAGGGCGTCGGGGAGAGGTCTGTTTACCCTGGTCTACAGAGTTACCCATGGGGATTTTGAGCGGCGTGGACAATGCACAGCACGTCCATCGCACACTGGTCTTGCGCTCACATGAATACAACCACAGCCGGCCGACAAAAGAACAGGTGTTCGGAAGGCTACAGTGTTACCGTACGGCCAGACCGTCTGGTGGGTATATCTGGACAATTACGCTTTGTTGGATAAGTGCCCAACAGAAGTCCGGCTGGAGGAATCGGAAGAGGCTGCTCCTGAGTTCAAGGCCCTAAGGAGAGTATCTAGCTTGGGGGCTTCCACGTCTTCCTGGGAAGGCTGTGAACAGGCAGCTAGTGACAGAGATCCAGGGCGCCGCGGCGGATGGAGTTCGGGGTATCGCCTACCCTGAGAGACAGAAGCTGACCAAATACATCACCGTCGCTCGACAGCTCATGGAGCAACCTGTGGCCACTCAGCGACAGATGCAAGTGGTATGCAGTGACTTGGTGTATTCTTCGACTTTCCGCCGCCAGTTTTTAGGGGGTTCAACTTGTGTTGGGCCCTCATCGAATCATTCAATGTCTTTGGGCGCCGCCGGCTACCCATCCCCGCCCATCCCAAAGGGCGTCAAGCTGGAGATTCGCCGTTCGTTGTGCCTGATACCTTTATGTCGTTTGAACTTCCGCGTGAACCTGAAGTCAATGGTCGCATGCAGCGACGTGTCGGACCATGGCGGGGGAGTGTGCGTTGCTACCGGGCTTGCAAATCGTGGGAAACCCTGTAACGACTCCGGGACCACAGACGAAGAGCTGCGGGGGTCAAAAGAACCGAAGCGAAATAGGGGTACGACTCGGTAGGCCTTAGGTTCAACGAAGCCTTTCTTCGTTGAGCCTACACACATGCTACCGTGATGCTGGTGAAGCCCCCGCCCGGCAACGACATTTCTTGCATCATACAGTCCTGCGACGTGTCGGAGCATGGCGGGGGAGTGTGTGTTGCTACCGGGCTTGCAAAGTTTGGGTGAGCGCTTGGCAACCAGTGGGGCGCCCCTGGAGATGACAAACCGTCAGGAAGAACGCATCTTGAGTTGGACTAGGGTACTCGAATGTAGCGCGTGACCTCGTCGGCGGAGAAGTACTGGTTGTTCATTTGCTTTATTCACACTAGCGGGGCAGTTATCAGTCGAAAAGGTCCCTGGAGCACGCCGAGTTGTGGATTATCATTTCACAGACACATTGCACTACCCGGACATCGTCGAGGAAGAGGACGATGGCGTGACCTGTGGGTTTTCGACGTACGGACAGGTAGACATGAACCTCATCGGGGCGGAGCTGCCCTGTCAAGGCACCTCCTGCGGAAAGGCGCTTTGTGTGACGAGCGGGCGAGGCCCTTCCCGAGGCGCCTCGCTTGGGAGCAGGAGCGGACGCTGATAGAGAACGTCGAGTCCATGGATAAGGTAGTTGAACTGGGCTGGTTGATTTCTTTCGGGGAGGGGCCCTGGGGTTGTGACGCAGGAATTTTTATATGGTGCACGCAGCGAAAGGTTGGACGCCTTAGTCATGGGGTTCTTTTTGAGCCTTGGTGGATTTCGGGGGAAAGGCGTGGACTGGCCGCCTGCACCCTGGCGTCGTTACAGGAGTATGACGCAAACCCTCGGAGGCACCTCCCTGAGGAAACATGGGTTATCCATGAGCTACCCCGCCGGGCACTAACAGCCCCAGCGGTCGTCCTGCACAGCATAAATGGCTGGGGGCGTATAGCAAGCAGGTATACAAGAAAGCGTTTCGCTGGGCCATGACACCGTCTCTCGATATGTACGGTTTTGGACTGAGCTTGCGTCCACTCGTTAGAAGTTGTGTCCCTCGCCGCCGCGTTGGCGCTAATTGTTTAAAAAGCTGTATCGAAAGCCCCAAGTTTGAGTCCTTAGGGTACTTAGTAGGAGGAGTGTGGCATGAAGTTGGGGCACTGGCAGCGGCAGAAACTGCCGGGATGTAAATCTGGACCTATTCTAGAGGAAATGCATTTGGGCCTTCTAAAACTTTTAATAATTTCAAACCCCAGAGATGGTGAAACACTTGAGCCGTTGCAGAGCAACAGGCCGTCCTCGAGATGAGGACTGGGGGACGTGGAAGGATTTAAATTTTCCAGGAATCCAGCAAGAAAAGAAAGAAGAAG